TGCCAATGTGCTGAACTTCTCCACAAACCAGCGTGACTCTCCCTATTTGGAGGCTGCTCCTCTTCTTCACTTTTTGGCTGTTTGGGATGGGGACTTCTGACCAAAGTAACGAAGTATGTGACAAGAGCTGTCTGCCAAAACTGGGATCACAGCAAGTTTTTGAAGGCTCGTTTGAAAACTATCTTGAGCTTTGGGAGGATGAGTACAAGCCTGAACAGTGCAAATGCAGTGATGGAATGTCAAGATGGGAACAGAGTTTGTGAGTGGGGGTGAGGGTTTGGAACTACGTTGTCACTCTGATCTTGGAGGAAGGGAAGCAAATAAATGGATTTCCAAATACATGTCCATCAGGATGGAATAGGCAGGATGCTTTTCATCTGCAAGTGCTTGAAGCTGTGCATTTCCTGCTTGAGTTTAATACGCACAATTTGTTCAACATCTTAGCTAAGGAGCATTAAACTTGCAGTTGTTATTGATAATGTCATGCGAGAGATTAACTTGTCTGAAAAGTTCCTAGGTTTGGAGATGAAAAGGTTAAAAAATTGTGCATTCCTTTCCCTGTATCCTTCTAAGAAGCATATCATAGAATGGCCTGGGTTGAAAAGGACCACAATGATCATCTGGTTTCAACCCCCTGCTGTGTGCAGGGTCGCCAACCAGCAGACCAGGCTGCCCAGAGCCACATCCAGCCTGGCCTTGAATGCTTGCAGGGATGGGGCATCCACAGCCTCCTTGGGCAACCTGTTCCAGTGCCTCACCACCCTCATTTTGCAAATGCAAAATACAACTAACATAGCAGAGTAGATAGCTGTGCTTTGCAGTTGTACGTGTGCATTAATTAATAAAAGGTAGTGCTTGTGTTGAAGAAAGAATATTTCTGTGAAAAACCAAACCAAAGCCCCTCTCCCAAACACAGCACCTTTCATTATCCCAGTGTTGTAAGGTGTTCAGAAACAATGAAGTAGGAGAAACCCATTCAGCAATGATGATCTTTAGCAGCTGGGAGTTATGCATTTAGGTAACAAAGTGAAATGCTGATTTTAGAAGGAGAGGAAATAGGACAGTTTTTAGATTGGTCAAATACTAGTCGTATACAGGGCAGCTGCAGACGGGAACAGCATCTCACTTGCTGTTCCTCACATATAAAAGGTGAGGAATGAGTGTGCTGTTTTGCTGTGGCAGGCATGAGAAGCAATAACCAGTGACTTATTCAGGAGGCAATAGATGGCTGCCTGCGCTAAGCATCACATTTAAGGACTGTGCTAGGTGCTGTGAACACAAATGGGAACAGATTTCTCAAATTTTTCAAGTGCCTGGAAAAAGAGTACACAAATCTTTCCCCCTGACAAGTTACTTGAATTATAAGCCCTTGATTTTATACATGTATATGTATATATACATATTTACCCAAAGGAAAACTCACAGATATGTGAATTAATAAATCTTTCACTGCTTTACTTGATTCTTCCTTTGACTCAGCTTCAAAAGACAGACTGTGGGTTTTAATCTGACCAATGGCCAATAGAATCAGTGCTTTGTTGAAGGACTGTCACGGAAACAGGGAGTGATGCAGCTCCGGAGGAGGCACATTAGACTGGTAAAGATTTTTCTACAATCAAAACCCTTTTTTCTGAAATGGTGATCATCAGGCAGGAGCACTTGTTGCAATATGGTTTGATGTCGTGGGAAATGCCTTCCCCTGTTTTCTTCACCTTAGAGGGTTGTTGGGAAGAGATATGAGCGCACGACTGCCCAGCTGAAATAGTCTCTGCAAGCCCAAATGCAAAGCAATGCTTTTCAACACTGAGGGGTAAGAGCATCACTGATAAAATTACCAGAATTTTACCTTTTTTTCCCATCACTAACCTAGGAGTGGTACTGGGGGAGCTGGGTCATCTGACAACCTTGGAGCAAGCTGGCCATCTCTCAACTGCTGGATATTAATTATTTAGACCATAGGAAAACTGAACCCCATGCTTCCTTCTGGCATGGAATCTCTTTATTTTAGATGTGGCTCTGGAGTTTTCACTGTCTGTTGCTGCCTGTGAGGAAAGATGGCAGGGTATCTGCCAACAGCCCCAAATCTCTGCTTTCCAGAGCACTTGTGATGTGGGCTTTTGTTTTGTCTATAACTTTTACTAAACAGAAAGTTATGGGATTCTAATAACCTTTTTTTTTTCTTTTTTTTTTCCCCCTAAAATTTGATATTAATGCCAGACTTTGCAATTGTACTAGGTCAGACTAAGAACTAAGTTTAAAAGACTTTTAAACTCCAATATTAAGAGTTATTCCCATTTTGCACTGGTTCTAATGCGTGTCTTAGATCCTGTGCAGCAGACCCTTACCACACCTGTTTTCAAAGTAGCTATTAGCTCTGTTGACAAAGGAAAATTTAGGGCTGAGTATAAATCCTGTTCCATAGGAAGGAAATATTTTGGTTTTCCTAACGGTAAAGTTACACCAAAAATGTGCATGTAACCCAAGATGTTTGAGAGATGGCTGCAGCATCAGTCTTTTTTCTGAATCCTACCCCTCTCGTGACTCACAGGTAAGCAGCTGGATATACTGATTTGCAGAGCATCGGTTCTGAATAAGCTTTCTCTTCAATTATTGGAATACTCTCAGCTGCTGGTGCACCTGTACTTCCAGTTTGGCTTCAAACCAAGATAGAATGTGCATTTTTGCAAGCTGTAAACTGAAGAACAACGTGCTTGTGCAATACGCCATTCTACTTTCTTTACTAATATCGTAGCTCAGTGAACATATTTTCCAGATACACTCGTGTATATTTAAATGTGTGTCTCAATAACTGTGCTTCTTAAATTCAAGAGTCAAGTAGCTACTTGGTATGCCACACTTACCTTAAGCAGAATTTGATTTAAAACATTTATCTTCCCTAGTATCATCTCCTATGTCAAAGCACGTTTAAATCACACGGTTCCTAAATCCCCTTGTGTTTAACATGGTGTCAGAGTATGAAAGAGTTTGACTAGCACTCTGTTGTTTGCTCACTTTTGTCATTTCCAGCTGCTCTGGCATTGTTTTGAACACATCAGTGAAGCTGAGAAGGAGACGTGTTAGCAAAGTAAACTTTTAATTTTTAAAAGCAAGGTCAGACTCCAGGGCTAGCAATGCTAGAAGACTGCAACCTAAGATGGGTGCAATTATGCGAAATCATGTGTTGAGTTACAGCCTCATGTCTCCATTAGGCTCTGTGAGGTTGTGCAAGTAGAAACACAAGAGAAAAACCATCCTGAAGTGCCTTTGATTTCTCCCTTCGTCAATGCAGTGAAGGATGCAATGCTGATAGAAGTGCTCATTTTTACATCAGTAACTCAAGAGGAAAACCCTTTTTCCAGGAACAAATCACTTTGGTGAAAGCAGCAGACTCAACACGGGGCTTTGGAGGGATTTGACACCTTGCAGCATTGCATTGGTCTCACAGGTAGAACGTTTAGGCAGCACCTCTGAATGCAGAAAAAATTCCCATCGAGGGACAAGAGGTGACCCACTAAGGCAGAGCAGATTTTACTGATTTTGTGTTAGTATTTAAACCAAATGCCATCACAATTAAGGTTTTTGTTTTTCCAAAATCCTCATCTTTATTTTTTCTTTATCTTTTTCTTCAGATAATTGGAAAGTACTAGAAAGCATGAGTTGATGCCAAACAGTGGTTCCCAGAATAGCTAGTGCGTTTGACGTCAGGTTGTGTTTACTTGGTGAGGAAGTCAAGTAATAAATTTGCCAAAAAAACCTACTTGACTTTTCTGAGTGAAGGAAAAAGATGTGATGCTATGCTGTTAATGTCTTTATCCTCGAGCCAAAGCACTGTGCAGATATTTTGTAGTCTTCCTCACTTCAGAGCACATCAGAACTTACTGCCAATGTAAGTTCTCAACTTCTGAGTGAATCTGAGGTGTACAGTTTCATAACCCTGACCATTTATTCATGTTAAAGCATTCTAAATAAGAGAAATGGGCATTCTGTTGTGTGAAGACAGGAACATAGAAATCTAGTTCTGAGTATGTTCAAGCAAGTTTTGGAATTGATAAACAAAACTACCGAGAATTTTCTTCACTCACACAGACACAGAAAGTCATCAGCAGTTGCTAAAGATTTCTACAACACTTGGGGCAAGTTGTGGCTGGATCCTCTTAGAAACTTCAATCTCTTCTAATATAACTATTGTAGCAAGGAAGCTTTAACATTTCCATAATGAAATGGGAATTTCACCATTTGAACAAAATATTAGGCTGTGGTAAATATATTCTTGTACTGTGAGGAAGAGAACATATGTTGGCTTTTGCAAAACATTTCTCTTTCAAGCAGCCCAGAATTTCTGTTTCACAGCTGAGATATTTACCACAGTTGTTCAAATGGCTTTGAAAGAGTGACACTTCCTACAGGCAGAACTAAGGCACTTGTATGTGGGTTTTGTGCTGTTTCTTTGTGTAATTAGCAGAGTACAAGGGAATTCACTGTCTAACTCTGAAACAGCCTAATATTACTCCTACATTTCTACTTGTAAATATTATTCAAATTTCACTGAATCACTGATGAAGGAGCTGAATTCTAAGCCTTAAATTCCATCCCTCTCCAAGATCATCTCTTATCTTTAGATGATGTTTAGCTCCCAGATGTCTGCTTGACGTCCCACCCACTTCCCACCTACTCAAGCTCTCCCTTCCATCAGTAGCATCTCCCATTTGGAAAGCATTTCGCTCTGCCTCTAGGTGGTCAGTGCCCACGTTGGGTGAGAATATCTGATATATTGACTGACTATATTGTTTTGCAACATAAAAAGGATAGTGTTGTCAAAACCTGGCTTGAGACACGTGAATTTACTGTGGGCGAATGGAAAACAAAATGTATGGGAACTGCTGAATCATGGCCTGGACCTCTGATTGATCACCTGAGGCGAGCAATGAATCAGTCCTGGGAGCACAGGTGAAGGCAATTCACCCGTGCTGCTGAAGGTATGGAGCTTGGCTTCACCTTTCCTAGATCTCATTTAAGAGCTGACTACTGGGGAGAAAGGATCTCTTTCTGGAGATTCCTCCTTTGGAATTTTCCAGTGAGTTCAGGACAAGGGTAAGCCCTCTATTTATTCGTTCTTGGTGTAATAACTTGCTTAGCCAAACTCTTGTTTATTTCTTAATTATAACATCTATGTGTTCATTGATTATACACAAAACAGAAGGCATTTAATGTAAGAAGTCCAACACTAGACTCAAAGTAGGGAAGATCCCAACTAGTTTTGGAGTCCAGTCTGAAGCCTGCTTCTGCTGAAGCAGAAACTAGAAGACTGAGCACAACAAAAGCTGGATGGGGGAAGATGTGAACAAAGCTTGAGAAGGGCACGAACTGTGCTCTGATTTCCATATAAGCAAAATCTTGTTTTTCATAATATTGAATGAAAATAAGAAGTATTTTATCTTGGTTTAAATGAGCAGAGTTTAGCCACAGTATCAGCGGTCATTAAATATTTTTAATCCTTACATATTATCATGAATCTATCATTATTTAACTGCTCTGAACTCCCATAAAGTAAACTGATACAGGCTTAGGCTGTAACTTGTAACTTATGTTTAAAATCTCAAGTCACTGAACTGAAGCAAAACTCATGGTTCAAAAAGACACAATATTTTTACACGAGGAAAGCAAAACAAAAAGAGAAGAACAAATCTCCTTTTGCAATAGACTTCATTATTTGGTTTTTCTGGACTTACTTTTTTTTTTCTCAGGGAGACTTAGGGTACTTAATGTACAATAATTAAAAAATTGAGGATTTATTATGATATTTCAAAATATCATTAAAGCTTATGTAAACTAGAGTTCAAATTGCAGTTGATCTAGATCCTTGGAGCTATTTAAGCTAGAAAGAACTCATGAGTTTTACAGCCTACGTTTTTATAAAGCATATTATCCCAAATGGGCCAATCTGAAAATTACCATAGTGAGAGTTTGTTATATTTGGCTGGGATCTGCAATTGTTAGGAGTCAATCCAAAATTCGGTGAAGTCATGGATTTTCATCAAGTCAGTATAGATTAATATGGACTAGGTCTGTTACATTTCATCTAACAATGGCCTTTCTTTACATGTGAGTGCATTCACTTTCTACATTTGGTTGCCAATGTACGTATTTCTTAAGCCCTACAGAGCACTTTACTTGGGAAAAATACCTTGCCTGTCAGTTGTTCAACCAGTGGTTATAAGTAGTCGTGGTAAATCCTGCACTCTGAAACTAATCCAGGCAAAGAAGTGCAAGTATTGAGACTTCCAGTCTTTCCAAATAAATTTAAGTTTATTTAGCTATTTAAATCATACATTAATTTTGAAAAAAAAAAAGCACAAATAAGCTTAGGCAGTTTCTTAGCATTACTTTTTCTGAGTAACTATGGAGCTAATTTCCACCAGAATTTATCATCACATGCAAAATTGCTGCAGTTAAGAAAATTGCTGTTTGATGTATAAAGGGGTGAATTGTTCTTCTGAAAGCAAGGTAGTATCGAGTTTGGCAGTTGTTATACCAGGTTATATGAACTGTGAATGTTCTACAATGTTCTCCCATACCTAATCGGCTCTAACTGTTGATACGTCTCTGAATGAGGCTTGTAAATGGCGGTCCCAGGAGTACCAGCCAGCTCTGGAATACAAGTTCCGATAATCGAGTCACATATTTGCTCCTTGTTGCATTTAAATTACACCACTTCTGTTTCTCTGGATTCCCTTTAGAAATAGTTGATTGGCACCACACAGTTTGTGTACAGCTATGGAGTTCTGGATTCGGAGGAGAAGTTTTTTGCAACTACTGCAGGTTATTCATAATGCAAGTGAGCGTGAGGACAGTACTGGGGTATCTGAGATGGCATGTTGATTGACTGGGCTGAAATAACATGTAGACTTATACTGCTTTTATATATAATTAATTCTTTCATTTCGCACACAAAGATTTTTCCTGCTTTGTCCTTGTTTTATTGCTTGTTTTTGCCTCTCACCTCAGTCAGTGTGCCCTGTACTAAACGATGGAGAAAGCCATCACATCTCCCCCTCCCTGATGACTTGCGTCAGCTGTATATGATTTATCTTTTAACGTGCTGAAGTCCTGCTCAAGATAATCTCTCATTGACTCCACTGGCAGGTTTTCTTACAGCAAGAACATTAATGGGAAGAATACTAAACAGAACATCTTTTTTTTTTTTTTTTTTTTAGTTTTATTTTGTATCTCTTTAATTTTCATTTCTGTCTCAATGAGACCATAGACATAACTTATTAAGATACAGTTTATACGCTCTTGTTCCAATTCCACTCTAATAGCTGTCATGAATGATAAATAGATAGGCTGGCAACTGGTGTAAATTACAGGAGCACAAGTATTGCATTATCCTTTCTAAAATATTGCCAGCCCCAAATTGCTTAATGGTACCTGGGGTTAGCAGGACACTAAGTGTTACTGTGGTCTGTAAGGAATGCACGACTGAAAGTGGGGCAGGTCTTCGCACCCTGGGTGTGTAACATGCTGTGCATTATATCATGAAATGTGATTCTTCCTCCTATGCTTTGCTTCTGACTTTATGGCAGAAGATTTTGCACTTAGGCACTGGGTTGAGTCACTTTTTAATGGGAGGGTCACTGTTATCAATGGTTATTTTTCATGCACGTTGATACTTGTGATGTTTTCTGTTAACTTCAAGTATTCATGCTTTTTTGTACAGAGGGATGTTGATAGTGTGTGACTTTGAGAAACTGAAAGTCAACAAAAAAATTGCCTTAATACTGTGGTCTGTGGAAGATAAAAAGTTACAATACTCTTTTCTTTTTTGTGCTGTAGAAAGCATTCTAAATTTTATCACGTGTCCACAAACTTGATGTTACGCTCTTGAAAATGCTTGTATTGACAATTACCCTTAATAACAGAAAGGGATGTGAAATCAATCAGTGCTGCTGTTTCTGCTATTTGAGTTAAATGTTTAGAAAACAAGTTCCTGAATTAGGATGCTATAGAGAAATTTGTATTTTTTATTTATTATGATAGTTGACATAATTAAACACTTTAATTAGAAAATATTTTTTGTTTACTTTCTGGGAACAGGCACTGATTTTTGTTTGTGTTGTATGACCTCTGCTTGAACTTCCTTACCAAATTCCTATCTCTAGAGTAGCTCTCTTAACGGCTTTACACATTTTTGAACCTTTTTCCTCATTATGTGTGGTTATTGAGTTGCAACGGAGTGCGAAATCAAAAGGCAATTTTGCTTGTTGTACATGTTATGAAGCAAGGTGACATTTTCCTTTTGGATTTTTTGCCAAAATGCTTGGGATTTGTATCTGCCAACTTCAAGCCAGTTCTGGTGTGAACTTTGCCAAATTCCTTGAATGAAAAAAGCTGAGGATAGGAGAATAACTCACAGAAACAGAGAATGGCTTGGGTTGGAAGCCCAACCTTAAAGCCCATCCAACCCCAACTCCCTGCCATGGGCAGGGAGTCCTCCAACCAGACCAAGATGCCCAAAGCCCCATCCAACCTGGCCTTGAGCGCTTGAGGTATGGACCATCTGCAACTTCTGGGGATTTGCAGATGTTTATTTGCATTGGGACCCAGTCCTGCTGAGTTTTTCAGCTCTCAACCAACTGTAACCCTAAGAAAATACAACAGAAAGCTGAATTTCAGCTCTACAGCTGAACCTGAATCTTCACCCACTCTGACCAGGGGGACGAGGCCTTGCTGCGGGATCAGTCCCTATGGCACTGCATTGTATCTGAAGCACGTGCCAGGTAAATCTGCATCAATCTCAGGATCTCACTTCAGAGCTGTCTGCTCCATTTGTGTTTTATCTGCACATTGACCATAGCTATATCCAACTTTCCTGGTAGCAGAAATGGCTGCCCTACCTTGGGGAATGTGGAGGCCAGAAGTAAATTTTGAAGAGCAGCAAAGAAGACTTATCCCTGGGATCTCTGTCCATCTTGCAGGGGCGGTAGTGCCTGCCATAGTGTCAGGCCTTCATTATACTGATAGGAATATGGTAATACAGAAAGAAAAGCTCAATATTCTGTGGGTTCAAGTTCAAAAAATCACCTTGTCCTGGGGAAGATGGCTTTCCTCAGGCAGAAATATATATTTCCACAGTTTGGTATCCTCATATGTGAGTCTCACTTACAAAGCAGTCATTTCTGGCCTGCTCACAGTCATTGCCTTGAAGAAGATGGGTTCTTATTGTCCGTGCTGCGCTCATTGCAATGCAGACTGAATGCCTCTGCATCAACAGTGGATCTGACTTCCTCACATCAGGTGCCCTTTTGATAAATACTGCTGTTGCAATGTGTTTGCACAAGGTGAAGACCTATCACTTAAAAACATTTACTTGATATATTTACATATAATTCTGCATTCTCCCAAGACCTGTTGACAGCGTTCAGTTATTCTCCAATGTCAGCTGTTGCAAGGTTGTGAGCCCCGTGGCTGTTCAGTTCTGCATAGAAACGAAGTACTTGCAGTTGCTTTGCCATTTGGCTGTCTTGTTGCTTTCCATCGAACAAGAAAGCATTTCTTAGATGTCATAGGAGCATCACCGTCAGATTTCGGAGTAATTAGATTGGTGCCACAGGTAGATCTAAAACTGTTGCTCCTGCCGGTGTGTGCTAAACCGTTAGTGAGGCCTTTGATGTTTTAACTAACTGCTTACAAACTGTTGCCACCTCAGTCTGTCAGCATTTTTGATGTTCCAAAATGCAGAAAAGATAACCATGTATCATTAGCAACCTGTTGCTGTTCAAAGATAAAAAGCTGTGATGGCAAAAGCAACATTCATATCTGCACTGTTATCTTAGAGGCATGTTAGCTGTGCTGTGCACTAAGATTTGTCTTGCCAGCCATTAAAATAATGAATTAGCAAAATGACATGTTAACGAGGACTGTAGAGATGCCTAAATGGTTCATAGAAATGATCCTGTGTCTGAGGGTGTTTTTTCTCTGTTCTTCCTTGCAAGAAAGAGAATCCAAAGAAGCTCTGTGCATTATTCCACGTACATTAGTGTTTGAGTAAAATCAGAAGCAGATCCTTTAAACTGAGGCAAAGTGTAATATGAATGAACAGCTTTTAGAATGATTGTTTGATTTCTTTGAGAGGGTTAAAAAACACTTCTGAAAATCCTGAAATATTTCCAAAGATTGCTTTGGTTTTTGTTGTCTTTTCTTTTTTTTAAAGTTAGGAGTGACTCAGGTCTGTGGTGGCAACTAAATCATCTGTCTCTGAAATGCATGCAGGATTGGACGATAGTTTGGGAAAGAAAACCCCCCTAAAAGCTGATAGGGAAGTGCTTGGAAGCAAAGTGCTTAGTAACAATCAGAAGAGATGACAGATCGTATTATTGCACAACAATAAGTCTTCAAGGTATTAGAGGTGTCAGTTTGCAGCCCTTCCTATATCATCATTACCTGCCACAGTCTGACTCTAATCACAGCAATAGAAACTGGGGTAGCTCCGTGGGTGTTTGTGACTTTCTCTGAATATTTATGAAGGTTATAAATGAAATCAGGATCTTGCTCTCTGTTCTTAGCCCATCTGTATAACTATGAAGGCCAAATGAAGCTTTTAGTCATTATACTTAATTGGATGAATGGCCTTCAAAGCTGTCAATAAGTGGTGTGTTCACAGTAAGGTAATTAATAACGCTATTTCCTTTTGGAAGACATATCATTAGCCGTTATTTCTCGAGATACAACACTGATGTCTATTCAAAGAGGTAATTGCAGGTTACCCACCAATTCCCCACCAGTGACATCATCTTTGCAAACTGAATCTCACAATCTGTCACTTTTGAATTCATAATTAGGATATTTTTCTAATGACAAGTGAATGTTATTGAAAGAAATACCTACTTTGTCTTTACAGGAACAAGCACAGACTTTCTGAAGGGTGAGGGCTTGCAACACACAAGGCTTGTGAGCTGTTAGACCAAACATCTGGGACCTCCAGAATGGCTGCATTGATGGATCCAGTGAAAGTCACAGAGGCAAACTGGCAGCTGTATCACTGCCAGTTGGTCACCAGCAATTGTGACTGCATACTTGAACAGACATGCCAAAAATATTCTCTGCTGTAGAATTTATTTGCTAGAAGCATTTTATAATAGCAGATAAAGAAAGTCGTTGGATTGTCCCCATTCGTTCTCCTAGGAGGAAAAAAAAACAAACTACACAGTGCAAATGATATTTTTCACCTTTTTTTAATTAGCTAATATGCTGTGCGTCATGGTTTACTTCTGACCCCATTCTGGAAGGTTAGAAACATAGACAGCAATGGGATACTTTGGTTCTTTTAATTTGTTCATCTTATTTTAAAATATATGTATACAGATAGCAAGGATCTTTCACCTGGAGGTGCTCAGCTCTTGCTAGTACTGTAAAGCTATACAGATAAAAATATGTTGCATTTATGTCACTGCAAAATCCTAAAGTGCATCCATTGTTTTCAGATGTCTTGGAGAGTTACTTTTCATCCTGCATTGGGTGCTAGGCCGTTTTCATTGTCTTGGGAGCTTCACAAAGGTATAAGCAACAATGTGCTATGTGCACTGACTTTGATCTGCAGACTTCAAACGAATGCACTGTGCAAGCGTTCGTCACAGACCCAACAGTCTAGCAGGGGCTGGAACCCATTCTATGACCAAACCCAGCTATTTTGATTCTGTTTTTGTATCCTCACCTTAGCAGGAACGATTTAAATGACACTGACCCTATGTCAATGCATGTTCAGGTGCTTCAGACTAGATTTTGGAGAGTTAACAGCATGGATAGTCGCCAAGCAGGGCGCACCACTGCGGTCAGGTCCCAGCCAAAAATAGCGTTCATATTCTTGACCCAGGATGGGGAGATTATTTTTTCTGTCAGAAGACTGTAATGTAGTGGAAACTAGAGTTTCTTTCTTAGTGGTTGAAGATTTTGGTGCTAAGCAGTTTCTTCTGGTAAAATATTTTAAGTAGTGACATAATTTCCTTTGAATAGCTATCATTTTCAAGCCCAGTAAAAGTGAGAGGTTTATGGGCTGTATTAACTCAAACAGCCCTTTGGAGAGCTTCTAATGTTTTATGAATACTTATTGTCTGCTTTTTCTCCCTGCTTTAAATAATGAAATACCTAACACCTGCAAATGAGTAATGATGTCGAGAAAGAAGATCTAACAGTTAGTGCTGCCTGGAATATCAGGCATCAGAATTTCTCATTTGTAAACAAGGCTTCTCACAGGGGTTGCAAATATCAGTCGTCATCTCCGAAGCTGCTGCAGGAAGCATTCAGACCGTCAGTGGGTGAGTGCACTGTGACTGATGGCATGCTGGAAGAATTTGCCTCAGTTTCAGGCCTTGTGAACCATAGGGAGCACGTCTGCAAATGGATCTTACAGAAGTACAATGTGAAAGAACTTGAAGATCATATAAACGTTTCTCGTGGGAGCAAAGAGATGTGGTGTTTCAAATTTAACACAATAAAAATTGAGTTCAGTGCCTGATCTCTTTTTTTCCTTACCTGACTATATTTGCTCTCTAACTTGCTGTGTGGAGCTTGCTTGGCACTTTTCTTCGCCCCAGTGATCTCATCTCTCTTTAATCTTGTTCTTTCCTTTTTTTCTTTCCTTTCACACCTCCCCTGGCTGTATTTACCTATTTACAAATCTGTGGAGAACGCTACCGCACAGCTGCGTTTAAAAAGCAGCATTAAAAATAAAAGTTCTTGACTTACTCAGCAAAAGGAAGATGGATTTTTCTCTGTCCTAATCTCTTGAATATATGACAGATTATAGTGTGGACTTGTAGAACTATTAAGGCATAATTACTGAGAAGTGAAAGTGCAGCAATAAAAGCTTCTTTGAATCTTGCATTTTAAATAGAGTTGAATCCTAGAAATCTTTCTGTGGTGAAAATACTTGTGTAAGAACAGATTGTTCCATATCTGTCTCTATCAAAATGCATTTTCTAGGTGATAGGATAGATAGATAAATAGAGTAACGAAGACAACAAAGCTTGATTTTTCTGGCATGGAGTTACTGTTGGATGATGGAGGTTCCCACAGCCCTAGGGATGAAGCTGGAGCCCGTGCTGATGATGGTGGATGAAACACAAGGCCAGAGCATGCCCCATACAGCAGCTGACTTGACCACTCCTTGCACGACTCCCTTTTCTGCTGTAGGAAAAGAGCACATCATAGGCAAAATGCAGGACCGAGGCTATCAATGCAGGACCATCCCTTCTTTTTTCGCTCAGCTGAATTAGCAGGATAGCAACAGGGTTGTGTTGATTGCCCTAGAGGAGGACTGGAGTTTGGGGCAGCTATGGAAGCTCTTTTCAACTACTTCAGCAGAGTTTGTCACAGGACCTGGAGCACTGACATAGTATGCTGTTGAGAGATTCTGCCATGATGCAAAGAGCTATGGATAAAGGACCTCGAGAGCTGTCTGAAAATCAAGGTACTGTAACACATATCTGTCCTAGATGCTCAGTCTACTGATTATGCAATGGAGCCACTTACAAAGTTGTAAAGCACGAGCAGTATCACCATTGCAAAATGAAATAGTTGTATAATGCATATTTAATTATATATTGCACAAATAGTGACGCTGCCAAATGGTAACTGTATTTCTCACTAGAGGGCAGATTATAAACCACACTGGGTGCTTTCCTGCTCACTGCCTGTGTCACAAGGAGACAACAGCTCTCAATGTTTTGCAGACAGATGGGGCACAGAGAAGCTATCTGAGTCCAGTGAGTCTGGTGGCAGTCATATTGTCTTGCTGAAACAAAGGAGAGCCATCGACTGCCCCAGCTTTGAGTAATAATCTGGTTGGTTGCTCCTTCTGGAATTGCTCATCTGTGGGTTTTTTATTTATTTATTTTTTAATTTGTTTTGTATTTATGGCAAAATTAAAACATAGAAAGCTGAAGTCTAGCTAAGGCATTATGAGAGAAATTGAGATGCTTGGATTTATATGCAAGAATGTTTGCAGAATCAGGATATTCATGATGATTTTATAAGCTCGTTGGTATTTAATTTGCACTGTATTTCTAGCCCTCTCATCCCCCCCCCTCCCCCCTTTTTTTTGTCTTTTTGGAGTTAATATAAAAGTATATTTTACTGTAAGGCCTACTATATATTTTTTCCCAGTACAAATTTATAGGAATCTATATTTTAAGCTTCTTTAAGTACAGACCCCACTTCGAAAATATTCAGTCAGCTTTGGCACTAGCCTAAATTTCTGCCTATTTATGTCCAGAACCACCATGGGGGAATCTACTTTGTGCTGTGTAACTTAAACAAACCAAAAAAGACTTGAATGAAGTCCTGAGATCAAGACAGTTCTTGTCTTTTCTTCCTTAGTACAGCATACTGATAAAAATCAGTAATGTTTCAATCCCTTGAATTTTTAAAGTAGAGAGACTAAATATAGTCATGGAGGCCTCTTGCTCAATCTGCTGACCCTGAACCAAGTCACTGTAGGTCGCACTGACAAGAGTCCCTTTGTCCTTTTCAATAATCAGACCCACTGAGCCAGGTAAATCTTTAAACAAGATGAATGGGCATCATTTTAAAAAGTAAAATAATTCATTAGGCTTCGGGTGTGTTTCTCTTTAATTAGTTTGATGAGCATGAAGTCTGAGGCCTCGTCAAATACCCAGTATTAACTTTTGATATTGACCCAGAAGTGGAGCACTGCAGAGGTAAGAGCATGGGCAGGTGAAAATAAGTAAGATGTTCTGTAAAAGACTTCTGCCAGATGAGAGGAATCATTATCATGATGATACTTCTAATTATAACGTCATTAGGGCACTACTGCAGGTTCCTGTGGCACATGAAGTTTTTCAGCATCTTGCTCCCACATGGGTAAAATGTAGGCATTAACCCTTTCACTGGAAGTAGAGTTGAATATCCAGGCAAGCTGAAAGAACACTACTTGTTTTAAAGTTGTCACAGTATTTCTGAGACTTCTGGAAAATTTAGCGGTAGTAAAGAATACTGAAGAGTAATTCACCTGATCCTTCTGCGTTCTCGCCGGAGGTCACAGATGGAGAAATGATATGCTTTTCTCAAGGCACCAAAAAGGGAGAAATGATGTACTTTGTTGATCTAATTTTTGTCTGACTGGAAAACAGGAGGCGAAGTTTCTGGCACAAAGTTGTTGCCCAAACCTTTGAAGAATAGCCAAAAGCAGATAACAAACAGGCCTGCAGACAAGATTGCTCAAAGTCACATTCAACTCTTTAAGCAGCTGTTCAATCTATGAAGTGAAAAGTTCTTCTATTTTTGTGTAATTTTCAAACTGCTGATGATGCTATAATATATCCTCTAGGCTTCTCTCTTTGTTATAAATGTATAAATGTATAAATCCAGGCAGCCTGGATTTATACATTCAAATCTTGGCTCTAAAATGGTTCCAAAAGAACAATCACGCATGCAGATGCCACCAAGTTTGTCAAAAATGTTATGCTATTAAATGCTATGATAAAACCTTCTACTTAGTGCTACAGTGCTTCTAGAATTTGTCATGCAGGTCCAAGTTGATGTTGTCTATAACTGACCTGGAAAGGAACAACATTTCCTGGCTTTGTGCCGTGCTGTCACTGTGTTTGTGTTGCTCTAAACTGAGTCTAGCTCCTGGTTTGCCCTTCAGGAGCCAGACAGTTAAACCACAGCCCAATCCTGCCACTCTGGAACAAAATTACATCATCTTCAGTGTTTTAGGAGAAAAGGGATTGAACCTTGAGAGTTCCACAGATTCAGATTTATAGAATGTTAAATGGGCACGTCTCCCCCCCAGGATCCCAATCCAGTAGGGTGTTCCCAGGCAGGGGCTACTCCAAGCTTAGGCGTGCATAGGAGATCCCAGATTAGAAGCCTACTGCCAGAGTTACCTAAAGGAAGGGGATTTTGAGCACTGCATTATGCCTAAGGCAGACAGTGTGAATGATGAGTTTTCCATTGGACGAAACTGCACAGGGCAGGTAGATCAGAGTTACAGATACCACAACAATCAAATACGTTCAAAGCAAAAGGACAGAAAGGGCATGAGAAAAATTTTAAAGGGCGAGGAGGGAGGAATAACATTATTAATATATCCCAGTGTCCTGAAGGAGTGGCTTTTTTTTGTGAAACTCAGCAAGTTGTGACACTGAGCAATGCCACTGCCTCAGCACAATCTGCGTGGTACAAAGTGGGGATGTGGCATGAAGATTTTGTGAGTTCCGGAAGCTCCTCTTTGATGACTAAATAGTTATTAGCTCTTTGAGACTGAGTACCATTTGGGTAATTGGTAAGTGGACTGTGACCTGAAGGACTGATTAAACTGGAGGGAAATAATTCAAAATTCTTTTCAGTTTTCCTCCATACTGCTTTTGTTTCATGTTCAGACAACTCAATCTAAAACATGAAACATTATTTTCATAAGAGCAATCATAATTGGCATAATTTGAAGGAAAAAAAACCTAGTAGCACTTGCTAATACGGGCAGAATTCAATTAATAAAACACCGAACCACATACTGTGGCTGATTTGTTTCTAAAATGCACTTGTGTAATTTAATAGACAAATGTGTTGTCTGTAGTGGTCATTATTCTAAAAAACAGCAGGGTTTATCCCTTACATCCCATTTTTTAATCTTTGGCTTCATTGACGCTTTGAAAACTAGCAGCCTAGCTGGTTGCTCCTAGATAGGAATTCTGCCCAAATGCACGGTTTGTAGAACTGCACTCATTTAAGTGATGTTACAGGGTTGACTGACGCATGCGAAAAAAGAACTTCTCACATGACATGAGAAACATTCTACACCTGTGACTTCCCATTAGCAACCTAAGTATGTAGATTTGTCATTACTTATTCAGAAATCAGCCTGCGGACCCAAGATGACCTGTGCTTCACCTCACCAATCCTGCTCCTGGGGCATCTCACATGAGGGTAGGTGCACTTCCATTTCAACCCTAAAAATGGGACTATTCATCTTCCTGAATCAGCTACATGGGCTGAATCCCTCTCTTCCACTGCAGCTGAGCTTTATGATTCAGTGTGCACCTTTATAAAGTTCTGGAAGACGAAGCGCTCAGGCCACGTTACTCGTTTTTGCATAGTACCAAATAGTGTTTTGTGAAAGCCTTTTAGAATCAGCTTTTTTTCTTGGAGCGGTGTCAGTCTTCAAGGATTTTTAAATATTTTACTGACCAACTACTATTTATTCCTTTTGAAAGAAAAGCAAATGGTTGCATGCAGCCCTGGCCATTTTATGCTTGCATATCCCTGCACGATCCCTGCTCCATAATGCACCCAGAAGACGTGTGTGGGCTTTGCTCTGCTCCTCCCTTTCACTGCCCACTGAGGGAATTCAAGCATGAAAGAGCTGTCCTGGTGCACGCCCACCTCTGGGCATGGAGAAGAAATCCCAGGTGAGTACTTTAGGATAAGCACCCTGACAAGGTCTTTGGTTGGCTTTGGTTTTCATACGTTTGTGACGTGAAATAATCTGAAAACATAACTTTGCAGTTTAGATAGATCTTTGGTGGAAAAACGCTTCAGTTAACATCACATATAATAATGGGTAAATATCTCAGTGAAAACCTTTCTTTAATCCATTTTTTTTTCATATTGGGCTGCAAAGTAATTTGTGTGATACTTTTTCCCCTTCCCCGTCTGTCCCTCCTTCTCACCAGTGCTCACCTAAACTGATTTCCAGGAGGAGAATCTGTGATACTGCCTTCTTCCTGGGCTACAAAATGACAGCACTTATTATCTGTCCAGTCGTCTGTTCCTGTTTAGTCAGTAAGTGGAACATATCCTACCACTTTCTTCAGATAATGTTCCTCTTTTTCCACATTTAGGGGGCCTCTATTGTGTGTAATCTCTCTGCAAGATAAGAGTTTAATAAACAACTCTATTCTTATAGTATTTTTTTAAATTCTATATGTCTAGAACACCTGTTCTGCTGATGCTTGTAGATTTTTAGGTAATTTGACTTCAACTTTTATATAAAAAGGAGATAT